CTGGAACTCACTAGGTAGACCAGGCTGGTCTTGGTCTCACAGAGATACACCTGCATATTCTTGGGCTTCCATCACAAGTTTATGCCTGTCTTCTTTGAGTTGTTTGTGTTTTCTTAAAGTTCTTTTATCATGTTTGTGATTGTTCTTTTAAATCCTATATCCTGAGTTTCCTCTAGGTAGTTCTCAATGTAAATCACTTTGACAGGACCTTGTAAGTCACTTTGATAGCATTTGGTGGGGCTATAACATTTTGGTGCTTCATATTAATTTTCTGTTGTTATATGGGCATGTGAATTTCTTTTGTTGCTTGTAATTCTGATGTTAAACTTTGTCCTACATTTGTTGAGTTGAAATTTGACTCTGTATTTTTGATGCAGTTTCATTGCTTTCTTTTGGGGTATGAAAAAATAGTTGTTCTGTGCTTCAGGTTCTCTCTTTTGATGTTATATTAAGGGACCAGATCATTAAGGCAGGCTACTCAGGAGCTCTCGAGGAGGCAAAGGATCCCTGGATATTCAGGTGCCCTTTGGCATTACAAGTGGATGGGCCCAAGTCCCAAGGAGAGTGGATGGGAACAGAATGTGTTGGGCTTTACTAGCTAGCAGGTATCCTTAGTTATTTTTCTTATTGAACCCTTGTCAGTTTGATACCCAAACACATAACTTTAATCCATAATTTATACTGGGTCCCTAAAGGCTCATGTTCATCTCATCAAGCAAAATGAAATTAGTCCATCTTTAAGAATCCCCCAAATGGGGGCTGGAGAGATGGCTCAGTGGTTAAGAACACTGGTTGTTCTTGCAGAAGAGGCCATATACTCAAACTGAAATTTATAGTACTGGATCTACTGAAACCTCCAATCTTCATACTCAGATGGATATGGAAAAACTGGGTGTCAGATCCCCAGAACCTGGAGTTATGAATGATTGCTAGTCAACATGCTATGCACTGGAAATCAAACCCAGCCCCTCTTCAAGAATACTCAGTGCTCTTTTCCTTTGAGCCTTATCTCGAGACCCAATATTCCTCCTTTTGAATATATTTTCACTTTTATGTACTTGAAGATTTGATGGATGTACTTTTGCCTTCAATGTACCATCCCTACTGTCTTATTGCAAAGTAAGTAGTGTCTCCTTCATTGAGTGAATCACTTTAGCTAATATACTTTCTTTGTACCTTTTTGTAAAGAAATCTAACCTTGCTCATGGTCTTTTCTTAACTACTTGTCACTAAATTTTCCATCTTCTGACATTGAATTCTCATTCTAAAATCCAATAAAAATACTGATCATTAACCATACCACTACCTTAAACATTCTGCTTTATTGAATTTTCTCTATCAAAACACTTAGTCCATCAGTTTGATATTCTGCCTTCCTCAACTTTTCAGTATCCATGAAAATTATAGCAAAATTCTCTCTGAATGGTGTTAGGTAGCTACCAATAGAGTCTTAGTTCCCCTTCTACAACCTTATGAGGTGATTTTTCAGTCTCTGCATTTCTTTTGACATTTTGGTCTTCGCAGCTTCTACCATTATGGCCAACTAAGCTACACTCAGAATTCTAGAGCTTTTCTAGCCCAAAGTTCCTAACTCTACTACACTTCTTCTACAAGATAGTTCCAAGGGCTTGTTAACAGTCACTTAGACCTGAATAAAACAAAGTCTCACCTTACCCCTTGTGACTGACAGATTTGCTTATGTAACATATACTCTACATTTCCTTGTAATTGGCGTCTGTCTTTCAGACTCAAATTGTAGCACTGGATTACTGAAACTTCCAATCTTCATACTCAGATGGGAATGGAAAAACTGAAGATATTTTATTTAGCAACTTCAAATATTATATGAACTATCTGGAGAACACTAACCTTCATAACTCTTAAAAATATATGCATTACAAATTATAGTACTAGGAAAATATTTTGTATGTTTTAAAATGTTGACTCTAACACATAATTTACATTTATTATTATATAACTCTTTTAAATATTTTGGAACTAATAAAATCTTAGAAATATTGAAAGGAAAAAAATCATTACAAAGTTATGAAGCTGCAAAGCTGCTGTTCTGGGTTTGGATGCAGGTGTTGAACACAGGGAATGTTACTATTCATACCTTTGCTATGTTGGCTTATGCTAGTAAGTGGCTGCTCAAAGACTTCCATCTTTATTTTGATCCTAGCAATGAATCTGGTTTTAGATATTTTTAGGTATTAAACAGGATGATATCAATCTCTTTTTCAGTATCTTTCTTCTATCAACTCATCAAGGGAAAGGGGACAGAGGCAGTAGGTTAGATGAAGAAAGGAAAGATTTTTCTGATTGATCTGGAATACTGAAAATACACAGGATGTTGTCCTCTCTGAGGTCCACACAGATGCTGAAGCACACAATTCTTTCCTCGTGTCCATTTCTGTGTTTAAATTGGGTATTTTTAAATAGTGCTTTGGAAATCATCACCTACCTTAATTACCACTGGGCATCTTGCCATCACTGCCCAATAAGGACTGGGTTCCCAGAGCTTTTGTTAGTGATTCATGAGTATGCCCACATTATAGATAAAAGAGAACTTGACCCTTCAATTTTTAAAACAGAAATGGTGTTTTGTTCATCTGAAGACTTTAAAGGCTTTTGTAGAAAGGTATGTGTGAATGAACCATCAATAAGAACATGATTTGGAAAAGTTAGCAAGAGAAAGCTTCATCCTCATTTTTTATTTGGATGAATGATCTGTAACACTTTCACTTGGAATAGTTCACAAGGAAAAGCTTCCTCCTCATGTTTGGATTTGAACTGAACAAAACCTCAGAGTGAGTATCTTATGACCATGGTTGTTGCCTTGATCTGACTCTCTCATTTCCAATAGATTTCCTTGCAAAGTCTTACTTCAGTTTGAAATATTATTTTAAAAAAGAAGAATTCATCTGTGGTGGCACACACCTTTAATCCCAGTAGTCAGTAGGCAGAGGCAGGCATATCCCTGTGGGTTCCAGGCCAGTTGCAGCTACAGGGAGATCTTGTCTGAAAAAGACAGAAAAAAAAAAAAAAGGAAAAGGAATTGACTATCAGAGAAAAACCCATTCGTGTTTTTTCAATAATTTCATTAAGGGAATGTTTGAAGATGCTGGCATGTCTTTAGTAAGAAAAAAAGTAGTCACTTGTAGTGTTTTCATTTCAAATGTTACAGTAATACCATGGAGTAATAGACTAATGTGGTATAAATTGCAATGGAAACAAGCTGTGTTTCTTGGCCACCTGACTGAAACCATGTATTTTCAAACAAATTTCTATTTACTAAATACTGGAAAAATATCCACAAAAGTGTTTAAAAACTCAAAGTAACATTACTGTTAAAACGTTTAATTTTATATACATATTCCTATGTATAATATGTATCTAATGTAAAGAAAATCTTGAAAAGTTATTAATTTAAATGTAGTTTTACACCACTGACTTCCCTTTCTAAACATCTTTATAAAGATTTTCCCTGTTTCAATCTCTAAACTTTGCTTTGTATCTTTTCACATTCCCATTTTGCTGGAA